TCATTTTGTCACCATTACATGAACCGACAAGGAAATCTTATACTTCACCACCTAACCCTAGAATTTTATACATAAGCAGTGAGTCATATTAAGCCGAAAAAAAAAAAACCCCCAAGAATCCAAAATATTGACTCATTTATTCTTTCTTGCACTCTTTACACCTAAACCCAACAAACAAAATTAACGAGCAAAAGAAATCTCCACAAATTGCCAACATTTCTTACGTTAATCAGCTTAATTCCTTTTTCCCACGAAGCCTTATATATATATAGTGATCGCATGCATAGATCAAGAGAAAATAACAAATATATATATCTATCAAGCTGATCTATAACTAGTACTAGTGCAACAATGTCAAGTCCAAGAGTGGCTGCAGTTTTTGTGATACTTCTTCTCTTGCTTGTCGGTGCCTCGGAAGCCGCGATTTCATGCAGCGACGTGGTCAAGGACCTGCGGCCCTGCCTGAACTATCTTGTGAACGGGTCCGGGAAGCCGCCGACCGCATGTTGTGCCGGGGTCTCGGCTCTGGCGTCCGCGGCCTCGTCCTCGGCGGATAAGAAGGCTGCTTGCGAATGCATCAAATCTTCGGCCAAGAACATCAACTACAAAGCTGATTTAGCCAAGGCGCTCGCTCAGAACTGTGGCATCAGCTTGCCTTTCACTGTTTCTCCCAACCTTGACTGTTCCAAGTAAGTGTAGATACAATGATTTATGTACTGTTCATTTCACTGATTTGAATTTATAATTTAAATTTTGTTACAGTAAAAAACTTTTAAAAACAGTCAAATTTAATTTTTTTTATTACAATAAAAAATTCTCATATAAAATTAATCTCAACTCGAATGAGCGAACTAAACATGCCCTTATATTGGTTATTTTCACTTTAAGATTGATCAATCTTTTATTCAATATTTTGACATAAAAAATTACCGACTATAATTATTATTTATTTTTCTTCATCAAATAAATTTATAAACCAATTACAAATTCACTTATCACATCTCCATAGGGTGTATCATAAATTGTTGCATATCGGCCTATATATTATACGTGAAAATCTCTACCAACTGAATTAAAGCTTCACATGTTAAAAGAATATGTTAATAATAATGCTTCTCATGTTATATTTTCTTCAGTATCATTTCCTACATTGGTTGGACCATTAGAAATTCTATTATAATTAAGCGTAATATCCATGGAAGTCAAATACGTAGGGTGTGGAGCCCACACAGACACAAAATGCTGTAAAATGCTAGAGTTAGTCCAAGAGATGGTTCCTGAATTTTTTTAATCAGTCCTACTTTAGTCCCTAAATTTTCAAATGTGTTGAACTTGCTATTGATTTATCAGTTTGTATCATTTTTGGTCTTTTTCATCAATTGGATATTAAAAAGATTGAACAACCATGAATGATATTTAGGTTTTGTTTTATGTTTTTGGGTCAAGAATCAAGCTCATATTTTGCGTTCTATCAACAATTCTATTTGTTATGTCAGCCTCCCATGCATATTTCATCCTCTTTTTAATAATCAACTGACGAAAAGGACTAAAACTAAAATAAATTAGTAGAACGTAGTTAAGTTGATGACGTTTTAAAAGTTGAGGATCAAAATGAGATTGAGAATAAAATTCAAAAACTATTTGTGAAATTAACTCTAAATACTATGCAGACTGACGACTGCTTGATAAATGGAGTGTGGTTTTCAGAGTTACTAGGTCAAGGATAATAGGGCGTTCTGCATAGTATTAATTATGGGATATTTACATTTTTTACCTTTTATTTTAAGTTTATTTAAGAAGTATAGCTCTAATTTTTAATCTCATCAAATATATACCTTCAAATGATATATTTATTAAGTAAATGTCTACCCTCTACCGGTCAACAATCAAATTTGACTATGAAAATGACGTGAATGCCCTTAAGAAGAATAGGAATAAAAACAAAAATCTAAAAGTTTTTTTTTTTTTTTTTTGCTAAATAATACAAAACAAGTTAAAAGCGAAACAACAATCGTAAAAGTGAAACAATGGTTTTTTTTGCTAAACCATCTCTTTCTTCCCTACCTCCTCCCTCTCCTCTCTTTCTTCCCTCTACCAAGCTCCGTCCATCTCTCTCCTTCATTCTAAATGTGGAATCTCCTCCGCACATGGCGACTGAGCCACCGCATCAACATTAGTTCATAGCCCGCTCCCCTAACTGTCAATTTCAAGCCTTCCTACTAACAAGTCATATACGACAATGATCTAGAGTCACCGACAAAGTCATGCAGATTCGAAGTCACCGTCGTGCGCAGATCAGGCGTCTGATCTACCGCCAACGAACGAGCCACCTCCATATCCGTTGTCATCAATTCTGATTCAACGACGATATGTTGATTGTACTTGCGTTGGATATACTGTGTTGTGACTTTAAATTCTGGTTTTATTCATTTTTGTGTGTGTTTGGAGCTTATTGATGTTGGTTGTTTGTTTAGATTTAAAGATTCGTTTAGTTCGTTGATTTGAGTTTTTAATTTGAGTTGAGATGTGACTTTATGTGAGAGTTTTATTGTTGTAAAAAAATTAAATGTGACTATTTTTAAAAGTTTTTTACTGTAATAAAAGTCGAATTAGTGAAATGAACGGGACTTAAGTATTGAGATTTTGTTTGCAACAATCGGCGGATTGTAGTTGCACCATATTTTGTTTATATTTATTGTTCATTTTTGTTTTTGTATTTGGACAGATTGTTCCGAAAAGCTTTTCTTCTTTTTTTTCGTTTTCTTTTAGAAAAACAAAAAACTTTTAAATTTTTATTTTTAATTTTATTCTCTTTAAGGGTATTTACGTCATTTTTGTGGCCAAAATTGATTATTGACCGGTAGAGGGTAGGCATTTACCTAATAAATCTAATCTAAAAGTACATATTTGATGAGATAAAAAACTAAAAGTATACTTTCTAAATAAACCTAAAAGAGAGGGTATAAAAATGTAAATATCCCTAGTTTTATTGTTACGGAATAGTACACTAGTTTGTGAAACTTTTTCCTTATGGTAAAACCTGATTGGTCATATGTGTAATACTATTTTAATTTCACTACACTAGATTATGTTTAGTATGAATTTAATAGTTAAAAAGCATCATATCTCCAAAAGAAATAAACAATGTTATTAGGCATCGGTAGTGTTGACACCTTCCATTAATAAAAAATGAATCTCGTAGTATCAAGCTCACATGTGAGATTCATATCTTCTATTAATAGTAGTGCTTAACACCGATGATGCTTCTAAACAATTAATTTCTAAAAAGTTATAAAAGTGTATTGTTGCATTTCTAATATTGTCATTCATGTTTTGGACATTTAAGCCATGTCCTCTTGTCTTTACAATTCCAAGTGAGAAATTCCATGTGCTGAGTAAAGTTCTTGCCTCTTTGTACTCTTTTTCTGCAGGGTCGGTTGAAAAGTTGAAGCTCAAGCAAGACCATCGAAGCTTTACTGTGCTTTTGTGTGTGATGATTTGTATTTTGTATACCCGATATATAATAATATATATGTATTATGAGTTTCTAATAAGCCTGAATCTCTAGATATCGTATTTCTGGGAATTCCTCTCGCTGGTTCACGATATTTAGAACATGGTTTGTGCTTTGTTTGTTTGTTTTTTTCCCCATATCATATTTGATATAAATATGTAATTTTGAGTGTCCGAGTTTTGTGTTAATTAAATATGCGATTATTTACTACTGTTAGCGTTTTAAATGATCTTTAACTAATTATATTATATCACATTATAATCAATTATTAATGGACTCAAACTTTAAAGCTGAAAGGATCAGTTATAAAAAAAAATATTCTAAAACTTTAATGATGTTCCACAATATGATTAGGTAGACACTATATTAGATATTACTAAAATTTGACCATTATTTGAAATAATCTCTCAGTAGTAAATAGGTTTTAAAAAATAAAAAAGCTCGTGCTTAATTAACAAATTTTCTAATAAGCGTCAGTTTTACAACTCTTAAACGAACATATATAAAGCTTTCAAAAGCTTATTTACAACTTGTACATAATTCCATCGACATTTTCTAACAAATATCCGGTGCATGAAAACGCGTAGTGTACGTACGTATACTAAAGTTTTCCTAGCACGTAAGTATATATAGTGAGGGGACAATTCGTGATTGCTTGCAAGATTAATATATATACGTACCTTAAAAAATATATGTCTCTTTGTACGTATAATTAGTGCGTATAGGCGTAGAGCTCATCTATATATATGATATACGGAACAAATAATTAACATAAAATTCGTTAGTGCAAGAAGGTTGGATAAAAATTGAGTGCAAGAAATGACATAGAAACAATTGCACTAATTTAGTTCATTTTACAACCAAGTTAACCCCAGAGTGATTTACAAAACTTATAGCAACAAAATCACATTAAGAAAAAAAAAAAACGTCTGAATTCAAAATGTGGCTCATTTTTTTCTTTCTTGCACTCCTTTTGTAGGAGCCGCTGAGTCAGATTTTTTTTTTTTTTTTTTATAGAAAAAAAACAATCAAGAGAAGGTGTGAGCTAAATCAAGATTTTAAAATAAAATGAGAATATAATTATTTTATACTCATATATATATATTTTTTTTTTTTTTTTATAGAAAAAAAACAATCAAGAGAAGGTGTGAGCTAAATCAAGATTTTAAAATAAAATGAGAATATAATTATTTTATACTCATATATATATATTATGTAACTTTTGATCTCTCTTTTATTTTTTTTTCATCTATTTCTATGTTTCTTTTTTTTTTTGTCCAAATGAAACAAGCCTCCAATCAAGTTTAATTCACTTTTTAAAATTTAAAGCCTACGAAATTATAAATTTATATAATAGTTTAGTTTTTAGTTTAATTGGGAATTTAAAATTGAACTATTACTGCACTTAAAAGTCAAAATTTAATGTATAGTCTGAACATTTAAAATTTAAATATACATGAGTATACTTAAAGTTTAGATTTAGGAGACAATAGTAAGCTGTTAAACTATCTATATAAAACTTCAATTAATTATGAAATTTCATGGGGTGCAAATTAGAAGGAAAGTTGGGAAAAAAGAGGGGTGGTGGCCTCCACAAACATTTCTTACGTTACTCAATCAGAATTCCTTTTTATCAAGCCTTATATAAGCATAGAAAGAACCTGATAATGAACAAAAATCCACCTTTACATTAAGCATGGAGTTTTCTAGTAGTGAAAAAATTGCAGGTCCAAAAGTGGCTTCAGATTTTGTGCTACTTCTCCTTCTTACCGTAGCATCCGAAGCCACGATTTCATGCAAGCAAGTGGTCCTGCACGTGCAGCCTTGGGTGAGCGGGAACGGGAAGCCGCCAGCCGTGTGTTGTGCCGTGGCGTCCAAGGCGCCGTCCTCAGCGGATAAGAGGGCCGCTTGCGAATGCATCAAGTCTGCGTCCAAGTTTTTTAAGATCAAACCTAACTTGGCCGAGGCTCTTCCGCAGAACTGCGGCATCAAATTGCCTTTTACTGTTTCTCTCAACATGGATTGTTCCAAGTACTGTTCTATTCATGACTGATATTAATATTGGTTATTTTTGCTTTTTAATTGTTCAAAACTCATTTTTGCATGAAAAAAAATCTTTGCCTACTCTAGAAACTGAAAAATATCCTATATTTTTGTTTTCTTAATTAACCACAGGTTGATCACCAGTACAGTAAATTTGCTCAATTACAAATTGACATGCCAACTCTCTTGACCGAGTGTCTCTTAATTATTGTATAGAAATATTTTGTCACGTTTTAGCTGAAAATCACTACTACTACTACTAATAGAGTTCTAGCTTCAATATCAACTTTTTAAGATAAATTAACGTGATTGTGGTATGTGAGTTGTTATTTTTCAAATGTTAAAAATTTTGTTATATTATTAGTGAATTCTGAGAGAGAAAGTGAATATTTTCTGAAACTATTAGTGGATAGAGAGAGAAAGTAAGAAAGTTTGTTGAGTGTGTAATTCTGAAACTATTAGTGAATATTTTCTCACTCTCCCATAAATGTAAACAATTTTACTAAACCACGTAAATCTTTGTCTTCTTTATTTTTTTTAATTATTTGTTCAGTTTTATTTTCTATTGCATGAATGTAGGGGTGTGTTTTTTCCCCAACAAAAACAACTCATGTACCACCAAACATCAATTGAAGATATATAACAAGTGGGCCTAGAAAGACAAATTATACATAGTTCAAACTAGCAATACTTTCCAAAAATGTTCATCTGCAATATTGTTCTTAATCCACTGCAAACAAAGGGAGGAAATAATTACAAGAAGATGCTTTATTTCCTCTGAGCTTAAAGAAACATACACCAGTACAATCTTTCCTTTTTCTAACAATCCAACAAGAACTAACATAAAAATAAAAAATAAAAATAAAAAGAGAGGAGCCAATATTTCTTGGCCCCTTATATATAGAGGAAGAATAATGAAGGAGATGGAGAAAATATTTCACATATTACAAAAGCCTTGCTAAACTATAGAAACATTAAAATATTGTTACATTATACCCCACAAATTAAGGAAACTAGCTAGTTTCCCCCCCCTATATATATATCACATTTAAAGGTCTAGAAAATTACCCATTTGGTCATGGGCAATTTGCGTTTCTACCAGGCCCACCATAGTAAAAATAACTGCCCCAGTCGCCCATTTTGCCAGTCTTGACATCATAGCAATTGGGCTGCTCAGTGTAAGTCCCAATATCTTTGGGATCTCTCAAATTATTGGAACCATCCACTATTTGTATGTTCCTGAAATAACTGGCCTTCCCAAAACCTTCATCAGGAAAGCGGCCACTGCCCATTTGAGTAGAAGTGTGTTGGCCCTCAGATTCGGAATTTACAACTTCACCACCCCATTCAATCATTGAAGCACTGTCAGAAAGGTAGGGAAACAGGAAACCTGGCCAGTATCCCAATACATAGTTGTTCCCAAATTGCATCCACCAGTTTCCCTCCTTGGGGTCCTACATACAACAAACATTATTGTTGCCCAATTTTGAAAAAGGGTCATATTATTTGAAAAATTCTAGTCTATTAAAAAATATCCCATCGATCTGGATTAGTTTTTAACCGTCAGATAAAATTGCACACAACTTTTAACCGTAAATATATAGTTAGAACTGTATTTTTACTCTACCAGTTCGTACAGCTATTTTAATCGTTAGATTAACTTTTTAACAGTTTAATTTTACTCGCGTACTTAAAATTTTTAATGTGGACAGTCGTAGATCAAATCGTTAAAAAACTAATCAAACAATTAAAATAACAGTACAAAAATGATAAAAGATTCTTCAGATTAAATTAAATTAAAAATTTATCTTATTGACAACGTATTTTTTATGCATGATTAAAGAATCCCTATAGTATTTTATAATGGTGTTATAAAAAGGAAAAGAGAAAAAAAAAAAAGAACTGAAAAGTGAAAAGGGAGGATGGCCAGAAAGTTGGCAGAGATTCTCTGTATCTTTTAATGTGTGTTGGCTTGTATTATTTAGCATCTGGAGTGGGGGTGATGTTATGAGAAAGTACTGGTTTAGATTTATGTATTTGTTTGTTATCTTTATGGGTCAAAAGTGGTTGCATGTGAAAAGTAGCAGATAAGTTCAAATTTTGTTTATTTTTTTTTTTAAATTACCTTCCAGACAAGTAAGTTGATATCAAATTGAGAACCTTTGTAGCCAGAAACAGGGTAGATGCTAGCACCCATTGCAATTTCATTGTTGATCTGAATAAAGCCTGAGCACAGGAGATTGTAGCACCCAGTTGCTTGATATGCATCACTCTAGTGTCAATAAATACATAAATAAATAAATAAATAAATAAAAATGTTGGTAAAAATTAAACATAATTTTTTTTAATACTGTAGGGCCTACGACTCCTACTTTATTAATAAAAAATAAAACTATTAGAATTTAAATTTAACAGACAATATACACGTGCTTATGCACCCAAACACTTGAGCTAACTTCATGGGGCTAAAAGTTAAAATGAACCCATATGAATGAGTTATAAACTTAGAGGACATTAAATAAAAATAAATGATATAATGAGTCACTCACAGTCCAATAAGTGAATAGTCTTGTATTGTTATCTCCATAGAGATCTGGGCTAACCTGTTACAATGCAATTGAATATTCTTATTATTAACAGAATAATATAATTAAAGAAATATTTATGAGTTTTTCTGGTAGTTCATCATGTCGGTAGTCACAATTTTTGACTGTTAGATCTGGTCAAGATACGATTGAAAAGTATAGACTACCGATAATCTATTTTTTTAAGAATTACTATAGAGAAAAAAAGGAATAACAAAATTGATAAAATTTGCATCTAATAATTAATGATTTTATCTAGCTCTATACCTAGTACATTACTGATTAGTCCAAGTCCTTTTTCTATGTTGTGCTTGAAATAAATAAAGATGTATACAAAAAATTTAAAGTCTAAAGTCAAATTTAAACACCAAATGACCTAGTAATCGAGCTTGCTTATCCCTTTATAAAAGTTACAATTGTCATAAAGATCCTTTTCTATGTTGTATTTTAAATAAATGAAGATGCATCTATAGTCTACTAAATTAACCAATTATCAAACCCTTAGCAAAAATTAAACTATCAAACTTACGTGAAATTGAGCAAATTAAAGTTTTATTAATGGACATTTGAAATTTTGGCTTCTATATACTGTGAACGAAAAGGATGGAAAACAGAATATATATGACACCAATGATTCCTAATTTTTCAATTAACAAAATAATTAAGCTATCAAACGGCGGTTGTAAGTTGTAACTAGTATTTGTCTCGCTCATTAAAAAAAAAAAGGGTATCATATGGAGTCTTTAGCGTTAGAGTAATTTTTTAATAGTTAGATCTGCAGCAGAAACAATTAAGTGTAGCGTGTTGTAAATTTTTAATACGGATTTGCACAAATATAACCGATAAAGAACTAATCAAGCGGTTAAAAATAAATGTCCCAATCCGTAGAGTAAAATTGTTTACTTCACTGTAAAGATTCTCATATTTGTTACATCATTTGAGACGAAATTTACGCATAATTCTACCATGTTATAGTAGTACCTGATGGCCACTCTGACTGGTGAAGCCGGGGTCCGCGGACCTCGGCTTCGGAATCGATCTGTGCTTCTTTCTTCCATAGGATTTGATGGAGCTTGCCCTCAACAAGTCCGCTTTCTTAGTTCTTCTAACAGGGATGGTTCCCTCAGGGCATCTCCCTTTTGTGTGCCAAAGCTGAGTTATGGGTTTGGATGACTTTGAGGAAGAAACCTTGCTCTCACCAAATACCCCTTCTGGATGAAAACTAGGTCTCATCTATATTATTAATCAACCAATTATTCAAATTACCAAAATAAGAACTCAAAAAATTAAAAATTAAAAAAAAAAAAAAAAAATTGGAAACGTATTTGTTAAACTTTGTGAAACGGAAAAGGGCTTATCCAAAAGTTATATTGCATGTATCATAGTCATATAATTAGAATCTAATGTTATACAAAGATAAGAAATTTGAAAATAGATATAAAAAAAAATTCATAATTCAGGAAACAATATTAGTGTACTTTTCACATTTCCCGTCAATTTTTACTTTTTTGCATCCTATGAAAAAAAAAAAGAGGCTCTGAAAATGATTGTAGGTTTAGCCTAATAATGAATTCACAATATGAAGTCAATCAAATATATAATAATAATAATAATTAAAACCTGAATTGTGTGGTTTTGGAGTTGAGGGTGATCAAAAGCTGGCTGGCGAGAGACTCTGACGCAGTCAATTATGTCTCCATCTGGGCTCTACACAAAAACAAATTTTAAGTTAAAATCAAAGATTAATCTCTAATTTTGTCTTTGTAGTCATATATACATACATACATATATATACGTATATTGTTTACCTTAATGGATTTAACAGCAGGTTTGTTCAATTGCATGAGCTGTTTCTGGACCTTTAGAGTGTTCTGGGAAACCACTCGTGTTCTTCCCAAGGAAACCATAGGCATAACAAACAGAATTAGCAAAACCCACAAGCCCAAAACCTCCATTTTCGCCATTTCTTTCTCTCTCTATCTCTCTCTCTCTCTCTCTCTCCCCTCTAGCTTTTTTTTTTTTTCCCTCTTCTACCCGTGAACCAAAGCAAAAGTAGTGTAGAGCTTAGCTAGAGAGCAAGAGTTTAGTACCTCTCCAATAACAATGTGGTTTGAACCATGAAACATGTTGTGGGTGGTGGGTAAAGCTTTTATTCAAAAAAAAAAAAGAATTTATCTCAAAAAAAAAAAGAAATAAAAAAGAAACAAGTGCCCCCACCTATAAATCCCTCCGCCATAAAAAAACAAGTGCATGTGAACGCCAAAAATTTAAGCCATTTTGAACCCTCCTGCGCAAGAATCCAACACTACTGCCGACGACATGATATTAAGGACAGTAGGGCAAGGGTAGAATGGTGATTTGACCCCGAAAATATATATGTATATATGTATATATGTAAATATACATATATATAAATATACATATA